CATGCAAATCACAGAATGGTGTCATATGTATACTACATGCAGTCACAGATGATGAGCAGACTACGGCGGGGATACTGACCGCACAGCCACATCAATGCATAGGTGCTGGCTGCAACTCGTATACGCGCGTGCGCGTCGCGTCGCGTCGCGTCGTAGTCACGCTGCCCGGTTGACCTGCGGCCACATAAAAGACGGCAGGCCCCCCGCCTTCTCCCTCACGGCCTGCACATGGCATTCGCACGGGCTTTAGAGCTGACGCTGGCATTTCCGCCGACGCCCTTACAAGCAGTCCATGCGCTTGCCATGCTCAGTGCGCGTGCTGAGGCAGCCAAGAGCAGGGGCGGCCAATCTGTCCATGCTCTTTGCTGCCCCCGTTGCTTCCGTCGCGCTGATTACTCTCGTTTGACTCTGCCCCTCTTCTGACTTTCAACCTGGTGACGGCGACCATGTTCGGGGACATCGCCCATTCCTGAGTGAGTCGCACTCATCACATGCTGTATACAACACTGACGTCATTGCTTGGCTCAGTGCTTGCGTCGCAATTTCGCGAAGTCCAAGAGTTTGCATGCATGCAAAGCGGCCTCCACCCGCCGTTCAACGCCCCACGTTCAGCTCAGAGCGCCGCTTTGCAACGCCGTACCGGTGCAAGAGAGGTAGGAGAGCCCTCGCTTCGCGACGCATCACTTAGGCTTGCCGCAGAGCACCGCAACATGCCATCGAGCCCGACGATGCTCGCCCTCGAACGCGATCCGGCGCTCGCCCTCGAACGCGATCCGGCGCTCGCCCTCGAACGCGATCCGGTGCTCGCCCTCAAACGCGACCCGACGCCTGGCCTCGAACGCCCCCGACGCGCCCTCCAGAATTCCCGTGCGCTCGCCCCGTGCCTTCTCACTCCAGCCCGCCCGTGCCTTCTTGCTTCAGCCCATCCGTGCCTTCTTGCTTCAGCCCATCCGTGCCTTCTCCTCCCACCCGCCCGCGCGCTCGCCATCTAGGCCGTTCGCCTCCGGGATCGTCGTCCAGCTCTGCCCGCCCTCGGAATCGTCGTCCAGCTTCACCCGCGCGAAGCCTCGTCGCCCAGCCCTGCCCGCGCGAAGCCTCGTCGCCCGCCCGCACGCCCGACGCCTTGTCGTCCCCCGCGTTCCTGGGCTCGCCGCCCACCGCGTTCCTGGGTTCACCGCCCACCGTGTTCCGAGCACGCCATCAAAGCATGCCCCACGAACATGCCTCCGGCCGCAGCGAGCGAGCATTGCCGGTGAGCTCGATTTCTCGATACGACATACAAGAAATACATTGAACCGGCACATACGAAAGGTACTTGGCCCCCTATACTCCGTCACCGCCCACGCATCCTGAGCCCTACCGCGCCAAATCTAAGTCGTGTTCTTCTGTGAGAGAGCTTTTGTCCGCTTGTGTTGCTGACTCTTCTGATATTCCCTTGCAGCCGCGTAGTGATGCGCCTTGCGATCCTCAAAGTACGGCGCCGGCTCCCAAAGCGAGCGCGGCAGACATCGACGCAATAGATGGGCGTTGTGGAAGGCATGGGTGTTTATCACGTAGCTTTGTTCTTGTTCGTTGTGCTCTATGAATCGCTCCGTAATTCCGGATTCTTGTCGCTCCTGCTTTCTGTTTCGTCGGCCTGTAGCGCCGCACTGCCCTGCAATACAATCATGTTGGACGTTCTGGCAGAATTCAATGCGCTGCTTCATGTCAGGGTTGCGGGTGGTCCCTGTGGGCATGGGCACTCACGTCTGCAGCGACAACTATCAGGGTCACCTCACCCAGTCGCCTTGAAAGTGTCGGCATCCCAAACGTGGAATGCCGCGAGGAGCCCAATTGAAATTGGTCAATCAGGACGATGGCACCTGATTTCGCCGTGTTGGCATGAATCTCAACGATTCGGCCCATAAGGAGCTCGTCCTGAAACATGTCGGTTTGCCTCTGCACAGAAGGGGTCTGATGGGCTTACATCTAGAGGTGACCGGGCGAAAACCCATGCACCAATCGTGCAGACATCTTGAGATCTTCCGATTACTTGTGAGCAAGGTGTCCACGTTGATAAAGGCTCGTAACTGCTCGCATTGATGGCATGCGCAGCTTTTGTGTCGGAAAATTTGAGCATCGGTCGCGCGCGTCGTTTATGCCCATCCTGGGCCATCGGGATGTACTTGGCAGTCCCTTCATACGCAGGAACATGAGCGTGGCACACCCCAAACCCTCAAAAGGGATCGGAAATGCTCACCGGGGTCCATCAGCTCCGTCTCAGACCATCCAAGGTGACGTTGGATGCTCGGTCGAGTCTTCATGTATCCGCGCACGCCCGGCCCTGAGCAGACCCATGAGTTGCAGCCTTCACTTTCCTCCACAAGCCAGTATCCACCGCCCAGGCGTCGCTTCATCCCTTCGATGCGGGACAGGCTTCGAGCAATATCCCGACTT